CCTGGTCATGATGCTACGGGCACTTCATATCCACCATCACCTCGACGTCGTTCGGTAAATATGTATTTATCTCACAATTTCTTGCTAAAGAAATTAGCTAATTATATTTTAAATATTTTAGTCTATGGAGCATTATTCGAGCATACCACCAAGGCCACAGGTAATACCAATGCCGAATTTCCATTAGGCATTGAATTGACAAGAATCTGCTATTCAAAAAAATTATATGGGAAACCAGACTGTCTAATAATGACTATTATAGCTGTAATACAACAGATGTTTTTTCATCGCTATCTTGGTGAATAAATAATGGCATGCAAACTGTCTACACACGTGTCAATCCGTGTCAAGCCGACCAAATTAGTTGGTCATTGGTCAACTAATTTTTTTAAGCAATACCTCTAACTTAAATAAAATAAACCGAAATTTTCAAAATTAACTTACAAATACAAATTTTGAAACATTAAAAAAACATCCCAAAATTAAAAAAACACAATCCTGAAATTTATAAAATAATAAAATAAATTTTTGGCTCAATTTTTTTTTACACAAACCCTCTAACTGCAATCAAATCATCCTGAAAGCAAGGTGTCTTTTATTAAGATGTAGATAAATTTTTTAAGTTCGAAAAAAAATTGCTAACTTAAACATAAAAACAAATCTAAATGAAATAAAAATTGTGTAACGTAAATTAATTTACATCCGTTTTCACCAGCAATTTAAATGGAAAATGATTTTTTATTCTCTGTAAATTTCCATATAAAATTCAAAAAATTAAAATTATTTTTCACTTAAATTGCTTTCGTGATATTGGCTGTTGGAGTTTGCAAAAAAATTTACTCAATATTAAAAACTCATATCTTTAAAAAAACACCTTGCAAATTTCAGAATATTTTAAGATCAGTTTTAGAGATTAGTTGTTTAAAAAATTGTTTCAATAATTTTTTTCTTAAAAATTTTTTTAATTTAAAGATCGGTGTAAGTTATTTACTTAAACAATTTTTTTAATTTCAAAATTACATACATATTTTTTTGCGAATTTTTTATACACAATTTTTTTTCTTTGAAATTGGAACATTCAAAAACTATATTTTCTTTCTTTGTCAGAACTACGGTAAACATCAGTTGGAGATATTGTGTAAACATTTTCCAATTTTTGTAGAGTTTTTGGGACATTTAATAAAACAAATTTGCGAAATCCCGGAATAGTTCTTTTTCTCCAAAAATTTGTTATGATAAATATAACATATTATGATAAAATAAGAGTTCAGAACCAAATTCATCTCAATTAAAAATGGTCAATTCCAACCATTGGTCGATTTGACCCGGTTGACCCATATGTACATACATGCATATGACATTATTTATAAACTAAGACCGATTGATCCATATATATTTAGGTACATATTTATAAGTGTAAAAAAATTATGACTTTTTATACCTTTTTAAGTCAACTATCTGCCCTTCTACGTCACCTTGGTTAATGCCGGTGGCACAATCATCGCCTATGAGACAGCCAACACCAACGCCAACATCCAATCGGGTTAGTATAAGTCAGTAAATAACCTGGTTTTATATGTTTACAATAATCAAACTGCCTATTTGTGTGAAAAAAAAATTACTAAATATTAATTCACTAAATATTTTAGATAGTCACTTTGTATTCATAGGGAATGTAAGAACATTTTATTCTCAAATATTTCCAGGATACTTCAAGCTTTCTATATGAGCCACCCAGACGTAACGATTATTCATCGCGAACGGTAATTATAATACGGAATTTGATATTTGAAAAAAAATGTTCCCCTTTTTTACATGTCAAATTAAAAAATACTCACATTTACCTATAGCCCATGAATAGCACACGCTATAGAGGTCTACCAGGGCAGCCATTTAAGATGCCGGTAAATTTTACTAATTTAAGGAGAAAAAAATATTTAAAAAATGTTTTGCAAATTTCACACGCATAGGGCCTAGCACCACAAGCAATGGCTACGCAATGGATTACGCCACCAGGCAGGATGCCATTCCCATTTTTACAACAATCATCGTTGGGCCAGCCTAGGGATAGTATTGTAAGCCCGTAGCAACTTTTCTATTATTAGTTTTTCAGTCATATTGCTAGTTTACTTTCTTCAATTTCAAAACATTTTCAGCAACATAGCCATTGGGACCCATCATTACGTCCACCGGTATTTTACTTAATATAATAAATATATACATGTCAATATACTAATCGCAAATTATCTTTGCTCTAAAGGATATTGAACGACCCATGACGTACTCCCAAAAAGAAGAGGTATTTCCCGTTAATATGGGCTTATTCCGACCCTCACCCATCCTGATTATTTATAACTATTTTTAAATGGTTTTTTAGCTTGCCTGCCCAACAGAAAGTCCGAATTTGCCTTGTGAGGGTGCCGAAAGCAATGAGGAAAAGTTTACAGCACCACCACCGCGTTGTAGGGAACTTGACCCCGAAATAAGGAAGGTAGGCAATCTTCATATTGTATTTAAATAGATAGATATCTGTGTGCGTCAATTAAAGCAATATTTTATTGGGTTTCCAAACGATAAATAGTTTAAGATGTCCTTATGCAGCTAATAAAAATACAAAATTTTTCAAGTGAAACTTATTATTTTTTTTTTAATTCAAAGCCAAACCTTCTTAAGCTACTTTAATTGATGGGTACAGATATATGTACTTATGTATATGTAGCTTCAAATCCATTTAAATGAAATTTGTGTCCACACACAGAAACTATCCAGCAATTTGCCACCATTCAAAATACCACGCGGCTGTAAATATGAAACTCTGCCGTTTCCGACCAAAGAAACATTCATTTTAAATTAAAAAAAAAACTCTTTACAGTGGAAGACGATTTCGTTTGCATTAAACGCCGCGAGCTGTGGGAGTCCTTAGTTAAAGATCAATATTGCCCAGGCGCCATACAAGCTACCATCGATGGCCATGTAAACTTCAATGCACTTGCCTACGATATTGTTTTTGGTGACTTTCGGCTGCCTGATTGCTTGCCGCACTTAGATCCGATTTCTCTGCTCGAAGCGTTCTTTATACGCATCAATTACGAACGCTGTCAAGTGAAGAAGTTGGAAGAATTAACTTATGCCAGTGCTGATCCAGATGATGAACAAAAAACTCCACCAACAAGTGTTGAGTATGTCAGCTGATTTGTAGTCGTAAATGCATTTTTAATCATTTCATTCGTATTTATGCACTGATAGCTGTTCCATAATTGAGAAGTGTTTTAAGCACAAACATCCCACGGAGCTTAATGCAGCGATAGAGAAGCTTTTGATAGCAGAAAAACTACATGATTTTGACAAACCAGAACCGGTATGCAATTTCGGCAAATTTGTTGTTAAGTATTTCATTTAATGCGTTAGAAGTGGCGGTGAAAGCGTAAAGCTTTAGTTCTAATACATCGTTCGGGTCTGAATGACCGCATCAATTAGAAGCGAAGTTGACCAGCTGTAACTTTCGTCGTGTGTCTGTTTAAGCCAGTGATATTCAGGGAGAAAAATTTCTCTATGAGTGTCCATAGAAATTATGTAGAAAGTACATACATACACATATCAATGAGGAGAGAGCTTTTACTCTCTGAAACCCAAAGAAAACTCAAGGAAATTCGTCCGCCCCTCAATGTGGCCAGAGAGCTTTTACACTGAGCTTATCCATAAAAGCAAGTTTCTTAAGCTTAAAATAGCTGCATATGCATCTTGTCTTTTTCACAGATTCTCCAATCTTATTTTTTCCTCATATCTAAGCCTGAGAAGTTTATCTGATCGTCATAGCATTAAAATCAACAGGAAGTTTGCGAGAACTTAACAAAATTTAAAAAGATGCACGCGCGAGCCTATCAAGCGGTCGATTGTGATTTACAAAATAAAGCAGGCGATTTTTTTTTTAATTTCTATAAACATTTACGTAGACCTTTGACGACCGTACTTCGGAAAAACATTTGAAACTTTTCTATAGGTTTTATTTGTATAGAAAGTATACAAAGCTAGTTGGCAAAACTTTTTAAACTTTTATTGATATGGTCGCCGATAGAGTAAAAGCTGAAAGCTCAGGATGAAAACTCTCTCGGGACATCATTGATCTTGAACTGCGACAACGGCAGAGAGGCTTTACTCCAGCGATGGGCAGAGAGAGCTTTTACTCTGCACGCGCCTATACAAAATGTATAGAAAGCTTAAAAGAGCTTTGCCCCCGCGCAGGGCAGTGGAATTTTGGTCATGATATAATCATTCAGATCATGGTGGTCGCAATTTAAGAACTCAATATATTTTAAAATAGAGTGTGAAATATTTTTTCTTTTAAATAAATAGGCACAGAGCAAAAGCTACATATCTCTAGCCCAACTCATAGGGTAAAAGCTCGTTAAAATCGTCACTGTGTCCATTCCCTAGGCTTATGTGAAACTGTTTTTTTTAACTAAAATTTTATTCTAAAAGAGACTAGACTTTTTAAAATTCTTTAAATAAATAAGTTCCAAATTAAAAAAATATAAAATATATACTATATAAATTTATTTACAGGAAATTCCATTAATGAATTTGACATTGGATAAGTTAAGTACTGATTTGCCAGGTACACCCATAACCATACAAACCTTCATGGGGACCACAAAACCGCGCAATCCAACTTGAAAGAAAAAGTGCCTACGGCAATAAGTAATTGTTTTCAATAATATTTATATATGTACATACATATGTATGTATGTATGTATAAACTTGTACATTTAAATAGTTATATTTTGCTATATGAATGTATGTTCCAAAAATAATATCGTTTTTGTAAAAAAATTAAATTAAATATGTAACGCGAATTACAATAAATTTCCAATATTTATGTTCATCACGAAGTGAATCAGAGTTTAATTATTGTCTTAAGTTTAGTATCGAGCTCTCAATAAAAATCTCAAAAAAATGTACTTTATTCTTTCTGCCGCTAGAAAAAATAGGAGACAAGCAAGGCATATCCAATAGGTAGTGGCATGATACAAAAACCACATTATGCAAAAACCTCATTGCTCCCAGTAACTGAGATGTCAAACAAATTTTCTAAACAAATATTTATATATAAATTTTTTTTTTTTATACTTGCGCGATTAATTTACACTTATTTTTTTATGCATTTTTCAAGACCTTGAGATCGTCTGACTATTTTTTTAAATTTTTTCGAGACTTTTCGGGATTTTTTGAAGCTTTTTGGATTGTCGTGATCTATAGTGGCTTTTCAGGGTATTTAGCCCAAAATACCATGAAAAGTCACGATAGATCATGACGAGATTCATTGACACTTCATTCAAGAATTGTTTGTGATCTTCACGAGCTTTCTCGTGAAAAATTTAAGTAAGTTTTGGAATTTATGCAGCACTTTTCGTGGTTTTTCTGATTTGTGGGACTTCTCAGTAGTTTTTTAGTTCTACAGGACTTTTTAAACTAAGAAATTTTTAAAATAAGCTTTTTCATGGTAGTATTATGCTTTAGATTCGCCAGTACTTGTCCACTCTAAAAAAAAAAAATAATAATTAAGTAAAAATTTTTCCTGCCTTAAATATTATCGATAAATTACTCCAATTCAAATCTGATCAACACTACTTTCTTAAATTTGAAATCCATAAAAATTCAAAGTAAAAGAGAAACGTGTTTGACATTTTCGTATGCAGTTGTAAATATTTCAAAGGGCATAATTTAATAAAATTTTACGGTGGAAAAGAGAAAAAATAAGAAACTCAAAATTCTAAATCATTAGTAAAATGGTAGAAGTAAGTACGAAATGCAAAAAAAAAATCATTGCAAACCGCTTAACTTCACATTTCGCTTTTGTGTGATAGAATTATTGCAACAATGGAAGCACACGACGGAGTTTCCGCAGCAGCAGCGAACGACGCGGCTTTGATTGCAGGCCACAGGTAATGGCGGCTACCCTTAAAAATCAACACCACAAAAGTTACACGCGATTTTCACACCTCCTCTCGCACACAGTTGCAGCAAAAAGCATTGTCGCTGCGAAACAGTTGCAGCGGACCTTCCACATCTGCGGCAGCAGCAGCAGCAGCGGCAGCGGCAGCGGCAGCGTCAGCGCTAGAAAGTTACAATAACAGCAATTGCGCGCCGCCCAAGGTGAGTGCGTGTCAAACCGCAAAATCTCGACACATTTGC